TTTATAAAGAATATCTCTTTGGATTTGAGACTTTAGTCTTTGCAACTTTACAGATCTTCTTTATGCACCAAGAGCTTGTAACACTCCCAAGAGAAAGGAAAAATTGAAATCGCATCATATGACCCCTTTAATAAATGGCATGATATATTCATGCTGCACCAGTAGATGTCACTGTGAGTTTTGACTTTTTAAACCAGAGAGTCCCTCTTGAGCCACCGGTTTATATTACGCCTTCACGCGGAAGTCCCGCCCCTTTTCCCCCCTCGCTCACGGGACGTGTAAGTGTTAGCACATTAGCTCTATCAAATGAATCCATGTCAATCTGCATCAATCCGTCAATATTCACATTTTAGACATATGTGACGTGAAAGAACAAGTATTACTGTGTCATTAAACGAAATATTTGCCGGAAGCTGTGCAGAATAGTGTAATAAAGTGTTTTCTGCATTGCAGGGTCGAGTCGCGCCTCAAACAAAATGGTGAGATTGTGTTTATATCTTGCATTCACGTGTTTTTTATTAAATGGTGGAATATAGAGTGCATCAGTTTTGGTGACATTTGTTCTAAAATGTTGAACTAAAATCGAATTAAAAGTAAAATCACTGTATAACAGAAGGTGGTGAAAGAGGATCGTCACGCTGATGGACAACCTAGAAATTTGAGAGAATTTGAGTTAATACAGAAGTGAATCGATCTAAATTTAAACATTAAAAGTTTGTCGGGTAACGTTAATTCTAGAGAAACGGATATTATTTTAAGATATCGAGTGAACTGAGTACTAACGTGTAAATGTCGTTGCGTGTCTAATATGTGTTCATTTTCACAGCCACGCAAAATTGAAGAAATCAAAGATTTCCTGCTTACAGCAAGGAGGAAGGATGCCAAGTGTAAGTTTTATTTCTAATAAACTAGTCATGGTTAATTTATGACCGGCGCATGAGGTTTAACTTTTTGTGTTTCTGCTGTAACCTAGCGCTGTATATTGTTTTATTATTATTGTGACATGGTTTGTATGGGTTATTTTGATGCTGTTTGGTGCATCTTTAAAGTACTCACTTTACTGAAGGCAGTGCATCTCAGTCCTGGAGGACTGAACATTTTGGATGTACATTTCCGGTTCTAGAAAGGAGCTGATGTTACCTGGTTTAGACAGCCAAAATGTTTAGTACTGTGGTGTTACAAGACCAGATTTGACAAGAACTGGCTTAAGGTTGAATAGATTTTGTACTGGTGGTCTGACAGGACAAAATGTTGAATGAGAACTACATTATGTGATTTTGTGACATTTGCTAAAGGTGTTAATGTTATCGACTATTGTACATTTCTCAAATATTCAGAGTTCTAACCATATTTGGCTTCTGCATTGGCTACTACAAAAGTGTTTACTAGTATTGATAGACGTCTATCTAAATCCATGTGTTGTGTTCCAACAGCTGTCAAAATCAAGAAGAACAAGGATAATGTGAAGTTCAAGGTCCGCTGCAGCAGATACCTGTACACATTGGTCATCACAGACAAAGAGAAGGCTGAGAAGCTCAAGCAGTCCCTGCCACCAGGTGAGTCTTCAGTGAGCAGTCAAACTGCTGGGATTATAATACCATAAATGTAATTGTGCTAAGATCAATATCAATCAAGACAGAACCAAATCCATAAACTGGTTGTTATGTTTGTGCAGCATAATGCTTGTGCAGAAATTTGATCAACCTTAAGGATTTGTGCTAAATGTTTGGTTGTAGAAATGTTTTGACTTGGAAAAAATGATCTTGTAATGTGAATGTACAAGTAAACCTACAAACTAAAGGCCTGCAAAAGTAAAGCTTTTATTTTAAGGTTGTGTGTTATTGTTTAGCTCTTAAATATTTTATTGATGGGAAAAACTTTGAGATCCTTAAAGTGCTTACAACTGTCTGGAAAGGCATGGAAGTGCTGTGATCAGATTTTTGAGAAGTATGCAAGATGTCCAAACACTTTGGGACTGTTCTGTGCCCACTGTGCATTTACACACTTGCTAGAGCAATGATGGACCAAGTGCTGGGTTTCGTGTCACTCAGAGACTTCAGTTCTACCAGTTCACTAACACTTACAGCTGTGTCGGTTCTGGACTCTGTCCCTTTAAGGATTACTGTAAATATGACCCATCTTTCTCTTGTTTCAGGTCTGGCTGTGAAGGAGCTGAAGTAGATGTCTCGTACAAAATGTTGTAATAAAATTGGGAAAATTGAAGAATGGTGTTTTGTTTGTTTCTATGCTTTTCACACTTTAGGACCTGTTTGATAACATTTTATAGTTTAGTATCTAATGTGTCTGTGTGCTTATTTAGGTTGTGCAAGGTATACACTACCTTTCAGAAGTTTAGGGTCAATAAGTTTTTTTTTGTTTGTTTTTTTTCCCCTAATATTTTTATTCATTTATTCAGTAAGGAAGGACACATGAAATTGATCAGTGAAGACTTACATTGGTACAAAATATTATTTCAAATGTGATATGATCGTGGACCACAAAACCAGTCATAAGGGTCAATTTATTTATTTATTTATTATTTTTTTTATTGAGATTTTTACTTCATCTGAAAGCTGAATAAGCTTTCCATTGATGTATGGTTTGTTAGGACAGTAAAATATTTGTCCGAGATGCAACTATTTGAACATCTGGAATCTAAGGGTGCAAAAATATCGCATTTAACGTTGTCCATTGTTCTTAGCAATGCATATTACTAATAAAATTAATTTTGGTATATTTACGGTAGGAAATTTACAAAATATATTAATGTTTTTTGGCATAAAAGAAAAATCTTTAATTTTGATCCATACAGTGTATTGTTGGTTATTGCTACAAATATACCCGAGCTACTTATGACTGGTTTTGTGGTCCAGGGTCACATATTTACTACGGCTTTTCTGTTATGAACATAAACGTTTCTTGAGAACTGAAGGTTAGAGTAATGGCTGCTGAAAATTTGCTTTTGCCATCACTGGAATGTTACAGTTTTGAATACTAAAATGGAAAATGCTTCTTTTAAACTGTAATATTTCACAATATTACGTACGGTATTTACGTTTTTATTAAATGCAGCCTTATAAGACTTGTTCCAAAAACATTAGTCATACTGACCCCAAGTTTTTTAATGGTTGTGTACTTTGTTACTCTAAGGAAATTTTTATTGACCTCAAACTTGGTTTTTAGGCCAAAAGGTTTGTTAATTTAAGACCTTTAATGAATTGTCAAAACATTTGTATTATATCAAACAAGCTATACCCTTGTAAATGTAATACTACTTGCAGATTTGCATGCAGTTTAATTTACTTGTTTGGTAAGGCCATGGTATGTATATCCTAGTTTATCAACTGGTATTTGGTATAAATCCAGTATAAAAACATTTACAAAATATAGATGTAATATAGCTGACACATTTTCTCATGTAGTCTTATGTCTACCTTTCTTGGAAATGTAATATTTTATCAGGTTAATTATTTTTATTTTTTATTATCAGGTTAATGTCATTGCGTGCATGACATTTTCACTTTATGATTTTAAACCTTTTCAAACAATGTTTAGAAATAGTTTTAATGTAATCTCAAACTAAATGAAAAATAATACTGACATTTAGCAATGACTGGCATTCTGTTCAAGGTCATGAAAACTACAAGGTGTTTATTAAGAGAATGTAATACTGATATTTCATCAAATATACAGTTTTCTGTGCAAAACCATGATAAGAAGATTGACATTTTAACAACATCTACTTAGGAGCCTAACTAAGCAACATATTGTGTTCTTAAATAATTCACATCTAAAATAACCTCCCTATGAAAATGTATGGAGCACTAGCTTTTGTCTATATATTTTTCCATTCTTAATCAAAATGTGAAGAGAAAAAAAATAGGTTTTTTTTAATGTGGTAGTAAAAGTTGGTGTCCGCTTTTTATTGCGGATACCAATAGTGTTTGAACATGTTTGTTTATTATTATTTATTTATTTATTTTGTACCAGTGTCTGCATTTACTTGAGTTGCCCAATAGATGGCAGCATTGCGTTAGATATTTTCAAATAAATTACTAAATTCAGTATTTACCTCATTTTAAGAATATTTTATTCAAACAGAGTTTAAAGCTAATCTCCAAAAGCAATAATATATATTGTTTTCAATCTTTGCTGAATCTCGTTATCAACACAATTAGGCCACCATAAAAAAAAAAGTCAAAAGAAACTGCCTCCATCCTCCTCATCCTCCTCCTCATCCTCATCCTCCTATTCAAGCGCGACCTCGTGTCCCTATCGTGCAGCACAACACGCGCAGGAATGGCTGCGGCACGAGACCGGGATTTAATGCAATAATTCAACATTTCCCGTCAGTTCCCATGGTCTGCGATTTGGGGGAAGTATTCAGAGATCTTTTTATGTCCCCTCCAGCACTTTTGTTTGAGTACTCCGTCTCTCTAATGTCTAAATCCATGGCTTTTGTTTGAGAAGACAACGGAGAGTAACCAGGAAAGAAACACCCAAATTGTCCGACCGTCTCTATCCGGGAAAGTGATTTATTCGTCTCGTCGACTGCTGAAGGATGTCGTCTGCAAGGGTTGATTATATCGCTCCTTGGTGGACTTACTGGCTTCATGAGTTTCCTCACGTGAATCTAAGGTTTCAGCCGTTGGATCACACGTTTAAACCGCAAGATGAAAACTACCAGCAGGTCAGAGCTCCTGTTTTTGCTGTCACACAGAGGTTCACGGTTCAAACAGTCATGATGGGCTTTATGTACTGCACTGTCACTCTTGTTTTTTGTTTGGGACTCCAGGTCGTAGTTCAAAAATATCGATAACATAAAAGTCGATAACATGTTTCAGAAGTACTCAGTGAGAGTGTTTTCATTATGTTTGGCGTCTAGTGACCGCTTAAAAAGCATGAATACAATGTACATTTTCTTCACATGTTAAGATACACTCTAGTCAGCATACTTGGATTTGTTAAATTTATTATTTATTTATTTTTTTGTTCCACAGTGTGTTTTTCAGTTCGAGTCCAATGAAGTCCAACACAAATGCTACTATATATTGCACAACAGTAGCCTATACTTTGTGATTCAACAGAGCTTTAATAAGCTGTCGTCTGTTTTGTTTTGGTCAGATGAACATATAACATAATTTAAAGGGAAATTAAGTGATTAATATTGGAATTACTTTGATTATTTTTATATAATAACAATTGTTGTCTCTGAAAGCCAAACCATAAAGACTGTAAAAGCGAGTCTTAAAAGAAAATTAGACTAGTGTTATTTCAGTATCATGAGGTGCTAGTTTTTATTCATATTTTTTATTAGTTTTTTTGTTTTCTGTTTTCAAATTTAAGAATTTTCTGTGTTTTTGTCAATTTGTATTAGTTTTTGTTTAATTTATTTTAATTTCAGTTTCGGTTTCAATTTTAGTACATAAAGTTAGACTGAATGAACTTAAGTATTTTAAAGGGGTCATATGATGCTTTTTTAAAGATCATTATTTGCGGTTACTGAAACCACGCCTTCTTTCTTTGCGTGAACATTTGGGCCGCATTATGCTAATATTGCCACATAGTGAGGTAGATATGTGGGGGTGTGTTAGAACCAGCCGTTTTAGGGGCGCGTGGCAGAGTCTTAACTTTTGAGACTTTAGTCTTTGCAACTTCAGGGATCTTATAAATGCACAATCAGCTTGTAACACTCCAAAGAGAAAGGAAAACTTGAAATCGCATCATATGACCCCTTTAATATTTAATATTAGTTAACCTTTATTTTATTTCAGGTAGCAATTGTTTTAATAACCCTGCTTCAAACTTCTTGCTTTAACTGTCATAAAGGGAATCTAGTTCAGATTGGCTTTGTTCTCTTTGTTCCACTTTAGTTTTCTGTGAGAGACTTCAGTTCCCTTTAAATGACAGAAATTTAACACTGAGGTTCATGCTTTTATGGAAAAGATTATAAGATTGCAACTTCATAACATTTTTCAGACATCCTTGATTAGAGACCCCTTATATGAATGATGAAATGAGTGTCTGATTGGTGTACACAATGTTTTTCGACCCCAAGAAGTAATGTTATTGTCCTGTATAACGGCCCCTTTCTGAAAAGTGCATGTTTGCTTTCTGGTTCAATATGATTAAAACCTCAGTATTATTTATCTGCTGGGTTTTAGAAGCTCTAATAGCTGGCACATAGCCTATTAAATAAATTGTTTCTTTGCAGTCATTGAAGGTTGAAAATCACTGTCACATTTCACAGCACAACTGCATCTCATTTTGAACCAGACTGAGTTGCTAAAACACCTATTTCCCAGACTGTAAGTTGCTTGAATCTGTGCTGCACCTGTCTTTGTGAGCGTGATGGGGTTTTTCCGCTGACCTGTACCAACATCATGTTGATTAGAGATGGAGTGAGGGGGAATGTGAGAGAGGATGGAGGGGCAGAGTGCTCATTTCTGTAGCTGTCTGTTTCTATTGAGGCAGATCGAGTCCAGATGCTGTGGTGTGAGACCAGGTGCTCACGCTGGGTCTTCCACCGTCTCGGAATCAACACCGGGGCGTTTTCACATGGCCTGAGGGATCCTCCTTCATAACCCATTGTCCCCCAGTTTGTGAATCTAAATGCTCTGTTCCCGCTGACGCTGCGATTTGAATCTTAATGTAGCTTTTCAGCAGAACAGGAAACTGGTGGGATCTCTTTCCTCTGTGGGGTTTTAGGTTTGGCCTGGGAGATTGTGCATATGAGCTCTGTGCAAAGCTGAGAGACTGTTGTTGTGCTTTATATCTAATTGCTAACGTTTATTATGAACGCCAGGCGGATGATGTGCTCTCTATTGAGATTCAGTGTGTTTAATCGTTACAGCAATTTAGCCAACACTAAATGTTCCAAATGATTAGGAGAAAACAATCAGTTTGGATCCATTTCTTGTTCTGAATTTGTTCCATTTCATCATTTGGATTCACATTACATGTTTCCCACTAGTCACAATGAGTTTATTAAATAACAGAGATGATTAAATTAGCCAAAAATATAAATAAATAAATTATTTTAATAAATTATAATTATAATAAAATTCATAATATAATAGTTATAATAATATTATATTATAATAATTATATTATATTTTACTATAATATAATTAATTATAATTAATAATTAAAAAAATCTATAAATCACAAACAAAACCTATACATTTAATACAGTATAAAATTTAAACAGTATAAAATCAGCA